AATAGATGGATCAATATTCCATATTCATGGGTCAGAAGACTTCCTAGGTTACAGTGGTAGTCCTTACCAAATTGATCTACAGATTAAATGAAATTCCCATTAGATACCAACTGGCTATCTTGTAGAATAGCCATGTGAATCCTAAAACTTATATGGAAAATTTAAAAACCCTGAATAGCTCTGTAAAAAATTAAAACTTGAAAAAAAATTTAAGGAATCATCCCTTCATGATTTCAGAACTTACTAAAAACCAACAGTGTGATACTGTCATGAGGGTAGACATATAGAATAACTTGAATAATTTGGGAGGCTGAGGCAAGAGGATTACAAGTTCAAGGTCATCCTAGGCAACTTAGCAAGACCTTGTCTCAAAATTAAAAAAAAAAAAAAATGTAAAGGGCAAGGGGACTTGGGATGTAGCTCAGTGGCAGAGTGCTTGCCTAGCATGCATAAGACCCCAGGTTTGATTCCCTGTACCTATAAAATTACATTAAACATCCAGAAATAAATCCATGTGTCTGTGGACAAATGATTGTTGACAAGAATGACAAGATTATTCAATAAGAAAGTCTTTTCAACAGCTGCTTCTGGGACAAGTTGATATATAGTCACATGCAAAGGAAAGAAAATGAAGTTCAACCCTTATTAACTAAAACATATGCAGAAATTAATTCAAAGTGGATCAAAACTATAAAACTTATAGAAGGAAACAGGAAAATCTTCCCGACTCCGAATTTGGTAGTGAGTTTTAGGTAAAACATCAAAACAAGAACAAGGACAAAAAAACAGATAAATTAGACTTCATTAAAACTGAAAGTGTTTATGCTTCCAAGGAAATTATCAAACAAATGAAAATACAACCCATAGAATTAAAAACTGTGAATTATGTATCTAACAAAGGACTTGTATCTACAATATATTAAAGACACTTCCAACTCAAAAATCAAAAGACAAACAATTCAACTTAAAAATGTGCAAAGCAGGCTGGGGTTGTAGCTCAGTGGTAGAATGCGTGCCTAGCTTTCATGAGGCACTGGGTTCAATCCTTGGCACCACATAATAATAAATAAAACAAAGGTATTGTGTTTATCTACAACTTAAAAAAAATTGTTTTAAACGTGCAGAGGTTCCAATAAAACATTTCTCCAGAGAAGATAAACAAATGGCCAATAAACACATGAAAACATGTTCAACATCTTCAGTCATCAGAGAAGTACAAACTAATACAACATTGAGATACAACTTTAAATCAGCTAAGATGACTAGAATCAAAAAGCCAGATAACTAACAAATGTTGGTGAGGATGTAAGGAAATTGGAAGAGGTTGGCATTGCCTCAGAAAGTCAAGAGTTAAAGTCAGAGACTCAGCATTTCTATTACTAGGTCTACCCAAGAGAAGTGAAAACATATGCCCAAAGAAAAAACTGCACACAAATGTTAATAGCATTATTTGTAATAGCAAATAACATGGAAAAATCCAAATTTCCATCAACACATGAATGAATAAACAAATGTGGTTTGTCGCATGATGGAATATTAACTGGCCATAAAAAGGAATGAAGTACTGATATATGCTACAAGACAAGTGAACTTTGAAAACACCATGCTAAGAGAAGCCAGACACAAAGGGCCAAATGTAATTCCATCTATATGGAATGTCAAGAATAGGCAAACATAGAGGGCTGGGGATGTGGCTCAAGCGGTAGCACGCTCGCCTGGCATGCGTGCRGCCCGGGTTCGATCCTCAGCACCACATACCAACAAAGATGTTGTGTCCGCCGAAAACTAAAAAAAAAATATTAAAAAATTCTCTCTCTCTCTCTCTCTCTCTCCTCTCTCACTCTCTCTTTAAAAAAAAAAAAAGTAAAGTCTATTAAAAAAAAAAAAAAAAGAATAGGCAAACATAGAAACAGAAAATGGCACCTATGCCAGCCCCTCACTCAATGGTAGTACTTTTTTTCCCATTGTTTCCCTCCCCCAATGAAGCTATTTTTATCAGTGTCCTATTAAAGATTAAGCCTCTCATTCCAAAGGAAGAGTGGGTGGATTGTCTGGGTAGAGTTTTTGTAGAGGTTGCTGTTACTCTCCCCAAGCCAGCACCACAAAAACTTTCCCAGTATGTATAATTATAAGGGAATTTCTTAGACTGGATCATGATCGGAGGCTGAATCATGGACACAATGGCCACCTGCAGACAGGAGAGAGTAGAGTGGAAACCAGTAGCTACTCAGTCCAGGAAACTGGAAGCCTCAGACAAGAGAACTCAGTGATATAGCTCCAATCCAAGACTCAAGGCCCATAATGCCCCTGGAGAGTCACTGATGCCCTAAGAAATCTGGAGTGTGATGTTCATGATTGAGGGGGTAGCAGCAATAAAAGCAGCACTTAAGAAGAGTCAGCTGCAGGCCAGAACAAGCTTCCCCATTCTGCTTCTGTTCTATCTAGGCCCCCTGCCTACTGCACAGTGCCACCCACATTTGGCGAGTCTTCCCACCCAGTTTGCTGACTTACATGATGATCATCTGTGAAGCACCCTCACAGGCACACCAAAAGTGTGTCTTACCATTCTCTAGGATCTCTCAATCCGGTCACGTTGACAACCAAAATTACACCTGGGCAAAAAGGTCATTTTTAGAAAGTATTTCCACAAGGAATAAGTAAAAGGCAACCCTTCAGGAAATTGGGCAAGAGAGTCTAATAGGCACATAACAAGAATGATATCCAAATGTCCAATAAACATGAAACAGTGGTACTCAATCTTATAATGAAGTGGTGTCTCATTGTGTTTTTAATTTACATTTACCTGATTGTTAGTAAGGCGGAGTGTTGTTCCATAGGCATATTAGAAGGTTAAATTTCACATATACTAAGCAATAGTGATGATGTAGAGCAAATAGAACTTTCATCATCTGATGGCAGATGTATAAATTAAGATGAACAATTTGGATGACAGCTTAGCATTATTTGCTGAAGTTGAAGATATACATACTTCTACCTAGAATTTTTACTCCCAAGTATATACCCCAAAGAATTATGAGCACAGGTACTCCAAGGAATATATATGAAGCTGTTCATAGCACCACTGTTCATTATAGCCCTAACTGAAACAACCCAATCAAGTAAAAATGATAATATTGTAGTATACTTAGACAATGACATATAGCAAAGAAACTGGACAATATATAGCGAATTGCCACAATGTGGATAGATTTCATAAATATTATCATGGAGGAAGGCACAGAAGAATAGTATGGGGTTTGACTTATGTAAAGTTCAAAAGTAGAAAAAACTATAGTTTTATATCTAAACTATATTGCACACATGAATATATATGAACACTTGGGTGGTAAAACTATCAAGGAAAATAAGGAAGTAAATGCATTATTGAAAAGCTAAAAGGGGACAGAAAGACGAGTGGTAGGAAGGGGACGTGAGTGGGACACCTGCATACTGGCAATGCAATATTTCTTAACCAATATGTTATTTCCTTTGTGATAAATCAGTGAGCGGTATTTCTTTGTTTTGCTTTTCATAAATGTAATTCCTAGTAAATGTTTTGTTTACATATTTGAGTTCTTTCTCACCATGTAAGCAATGAATAGAAGTATATTTTGGTAGATTTTTTTAATAGCACAAATAATTGACAAAAATGTTAATACATCATTGGAACAGAATAAAAAGTTTAGAAATAGACCAACACAATCTTGATTAAATGGATTTTAATAAAAGCACCAAAGCAATCTAATGGGGGCAAGAAACGTCTTTTCAAGAATTGGTGTCATAACCCAAAGTCAAAGAGACTACAAGAACTCTACAGGCCAATAATAATATTGATGCAAAATCCTTGGAAAAATACTAACAAACTAGTCAACAACACATCAAAAAAGATTGTATACCATGACAGTATTTTCCCAAAAGATCTAAAATCAGCATACTACAGCGACACAACCACATCAATGTTTATAGCAGTACAATTCATAATAGCTAAATTATGGAATCAACCCAGATGTCCAGATTGATGGATTAAGAAACTGTAGTGTGTGTGTGTATATATATATATATATATATATACACATTATTATATACATTTATAATATATATATATTATAATATATATATATATATATATAACAGAATTCTACTCAGCCATAAAAAGGAATTAAATTATGGAATTTGTCAGTAAATTGATAGAAATGGAAGAATATCATGCTAAACGAAATTAGCCAAACTCAGGAACTCAAAGATCAAATATTTTCTCTCATAGGAAGAAGCTAGAGTAAAAGAAGGCAGGATGGAAGGATAGGATAACATATAGGACTAATCAATACAAATTATAGACAAGTAAAAGGAAGTCTAGTAGAGTAGAAGAAAGAGAATGGGAGAGGGGAGAGAGGACAAGAGGGAAAAGGAGGATCATGAATTGAAATTGACTTCCATGCATGTATGCGTTTGTCAGGATGAACTCACTACTATGTATAATTGAAAAGCTCTAATAAAAAATAAAAAGATTATATACTAAAAAAAACAGAATTGGTTCTATAACAATATCCATGTAGAAAAAATTCTGACCCAAATTTACTTAATGTACAAAAAAATCTGTAATATGTTCATAAGCTTAGAGGACACCATTATCAACCAAGAGGCTTAGAGTGCAGGGACAGGAAGAATAAGAGGTGGAACAAGACTCTTAGAGGGGAATAGAATGGTATCAAGGGCTCAAGAGAAACAGAAATTGTAGTATAAAATCCATAACACGTACAAAATCATCCTGATCTACTCAATAATTTAGAACAAGGTATAAATAAAATGTCATGGGTTTTATTATAGTGTTACAATGTTCATTGTTACCTCCTTTGAACCCTTGGTAATATCTACCCCTTAATAAAATGCTTCATTTTAGCCTATATGTATATATATATATATCAATTAATAATCTGAAAATATAATTTGCCCACTTTATTTTGAAATAATATTCAAAGAGTGCCCTCTCTTTCTTYCAGATTGGACTCCTTTTTATCCTGAGCCAGTATATATCCCAACAGGTCTAGAAATAGAACCCCTTTATTCAAGCTCCAAGGAAGACACTGTGGTTTATCTGGCTGAAGATGGTAAGCGCATAATGAAACACATTGCTGTGATATATTATAATTGGACACCTTGGTTAATGTCTTAGTTATATTTGTTCTGCTGTTAATAGTAGAAATTTCAGATTGCTATAAAGTCCCTGTCCCCATAATATTGGTTGAAATATTTGATTCAAATATCAATTTATACTAATTATATTTTTGAAGAMGTGCTAGTTTATGCAGCTACTTTAAAATAAGGCTTCATGTTGAACATTAGAACAGAAAGTTATATTTAGAATGAATTCTGCCTCATGTAAGTTTTCAAAGATAAATCTAGTGTGCTCTGCAACTATTGTTCACTGGCCATCTGTGGCTCACATTCATGCAATCATTCAGATGGGTTTCTTTTAATTGCACACCTGTTCAATGCATTTCTTAGTGTTATCATCTTTGAAAAAGAAGAAAACACCCCATATTGTTATCCACGACTATATCTCAGGATATCATTCACAATCAATATTACACTTTGAGATCTATCAGTGCAAAATCCGTCTGGCTTTTATGATAAGAGAGTGCTAATAATCAAACACAGAAGTCTCATCCCATATTCTAAACTGTACTGTTCCTGAAGCACTAAAGTGAGGAATGATGGGGTTCCTAAACAATTTCACCATTGCTATTTGATATCTTAGTGATGTATTTTTAAAATCTTAACAAAATGAAGAGAAATTCACAGGGGCCATTTCCTATATAGTAAGTAAATCTAGAAATCATGATTACATTCATATTTTTAAATAATTGAAATGAGAGAAGTACTTCAGATTTTTAAAAATTTGATTTCAAATATTAACATGGCTAACCTGCCTTAGAAACAGAAATCGTAGTATAAAATCCATAACAAGTACAAAATAATCCTGATCTACTCAATAATTTAGAACAAGGTATAAATAAAATGTCATGAGTTTTGTTATAGTGTTAACAATATTCATTGTTACCTCCTTTAAACCCTTGGTAATACCCATACATAACTGAAATAAGATCCAATAGGCAAGTCAGTGAAGGGTATCTCCAGGAATTAGATGGCACACATAGGGTAATGTAAGATAGTTTACTGAAATTTAATGAATTTACAAAAGGGTGGACAGAATTAAGGGAAATTAAAGGGGGATGGTGAAGCAAGATAGGACTGTCAACAGAGTAGCATCAAAACGTCTCCTGGGTCTGAGCACAGAATGGGTAAGAGCACAGAATGGTTTCCAGACCCGTAGAAACCCTTAGCTGTTAGGAGAGGCAGTCCCCAACAACTGTGGCGCGCGCGCATGTGTGTGTGTGTGTGTGTGTGTGTGTGTGTACTCGTGCGCGCGCATGCACGCTTTATAAGGGCATGCACCTATAATCCTAGGCCGAGGCAGGAGGATCATAATTTTGAGGACAGCCTTAGCAATTTAGGGAGACCTTGCCTCAAAATAGAAAATAAAAAGGGCTCAGAATACAGCTCAGTGGTAGAACACCGAGGCAGACTAATTTTTATCTTATTCTTAATCTTATCCTAACCTTACTTTTGAACATGGTGCTTATACCTAGGGTACAGGCTTTCTGGAGTTACAATTGAATGCCCAGGGTATTCTAGGAAACATTTCCATCATGAATACATTGGAATTCCAGTGTATTCCTAAACTGTATGCCCTCTGGTGTCTCAGCCCCCAGTGGTGCGTCTTCCTTTCTTTCTAAGTCTCACCCTTCCTGTAGCTACACCCTTAGTGAAGGACTGGGGAACCTCTAGACTCCCTCTATGTAGCTTTCTTCTACTCTGCCTTACAAATTTCAGCAGCTTCAAAAAGAAAAAAAAAAGCAATCTTACCTCAACGCAACAAAGCTGTCATGTTATTAAGTGCAACCTCCCCCAACTTTGGACCAGAAAGTACCCCTGTGCTTAAAATCAGGGCTAAATATGGGTTCACTCCATATATTTTATTTCTTTTCAGTAACTGTAGTTAGTTCTATTCTAACTATTTTGTATTGTCCAAAGTAATGGAAGGAACTCATATTTTACAGTCATTTACAGTAAAAGGGAAAGTTCAAGACTAGTTACTCTATCATGAGCAGAAGTGGAATGAATATTTTAATATGATTAATATGTAAATTTAATTTAGGTATTGCTTTTCTATTCTAAGTACTCTTAGAGTCTCTTAACTTCAATCCAAATCTATATAAATTGGTAACAAATTACTTTAGATTTACAATCTTCATATTAGTAGAAGTGTACTTCTAAACTCTATGTGGAATAGTCCGCATACTTTAGACATCTCTACTTTTGTCATGTCTTGACGTCTCCATGGTCTTCTCTCTTATCAGCTTACAAAGAGCCCTGTTTTGTGTATTCCCGAGTTGGGGGCAATCGAACACCCTTGAAGCCACCTGTTGACACCTGTGACAATACTTTGATGTTCGAAGCAAGGTTTGAGAGTGGTAATCTACAGAAGGTAGTCAAAGTGTAGGTTTTAATAATTTTTATTTGAGGGACTAGACCATCAACTATTTATTTTTTTATTAGGTATACAAAAAAAAGTCCCAATTAACCATGCGATATAAACAATATCCCAGTGAAACATTTTTGTCCTTATTTAACACTTTTCTATAATCGTATTTTCTTCTTTAATAATAAAAAGCATTGACTACATAATAGAAATCCCATATTCTCGAGTAACACATCCCAATAATATTTGCTTATAATAAAAGCAGCTTGTTTATACTAAAGATCAGAATAGAGATTTTTCTTTATTATTTCTACTTTAAAAATTCATATTCAGTATACTTCCAACATGAGGATTAATCAAAATATAAATAATTAAATTATAATACAAATTAGCATTAAAATTTTGGAAATTTAGAATATAATTTTATATCTTTTTTCCAGAGTATGTTATTTATAAATACTTATTGAATAAATTGTATTTCATTATGATTCAAATAAAATACTTGCAATCTTACTATTTTAAAAAATAGTTCATATTTTCAAACAAAAAAATAAAATTATAYAGTTGTTACATTAAATGTAGAATACTATTTTGGTAAAATTAAACATCTCTTAACAATAACATTTTCTAGGCTGGTGGTGTAGTATAGTGCTTGCCTAACTTGAGAAAGGACCTGGGTTTGATCCTTAGCAAGTTCTGGAGCCTGGGAAATCCAAAGTCAAAGTGCCTGCAGATTCAGAATCTGATGAAGGCCCACTTCTTCATAGACCATGCCTTCTGACTGGGCCCTTATGTAGATAGAAGGGCAATTCTCAGCCTCCAAATTGCTCCATTCTTCCTGTCTCCAGATTTCAGATGGTCCTGCAGCTCCATTGCCCTGGGCTCAAGTGAGGCAGAACATCAAGCCCATGAGTTTGCTGGAAGAACCTTATTTCACATCATCTTCAGTGACTTAGTTGGGATTCACTTAGTTGTAAAATGTAGTCCTTGTACTAAAGAAGTTATTGTACTGAAGGAATTCAAATTTTATAACTTACATATGATCAATGAATCTATGTGATATAGTCAGTCTCAATGAAAACCATTTCATATCCCTAGAATTGAAATGTGTCTTACGAATTGGTGTGAACATACTTTATATAAAACCAGAAATATGAAAAATTGTGCTCTATGTGTGTAATAAGAATTATAATGCATTCCCCTGTGATTTATCTTTTAAAAAAATCAATTAAAAATAGAAATGTGCCTAAAACAAAGAAGGACATATGGAGTTTTCTTATTATCAATACTTCATTAATCATTTATTTTCTAGAAAACAATTACTTGGAAATATATAATTTTTCAAAAGCCTGTGTTTTTATTGTGCTCTCTTGAACACAAAGAAATACAAAGGACTTAGAATTAGCACAGAAACAGGTTTTCAGCCAATGAAAGAAAATTTCAGAATTTTATCTTTTGAAGTTACTTGCTATTGAATACAGCCTAAGTAAACATTGCATCCCACAAAAAAAAAATCTGTGGATATGTAAGATAGATAAAAATAAATAATTTTCTTCATTTAACTTAAACTCAGATTTAATTTGTACCTTCTAATGTGCTTCCCCTCTTCCTTTCTTGTGTATTAGGGCAGAATACGAGTACCAGTTGACTGTGCGCCCTGACCTCTTCACAAACAAGCACACCCAGTGGTATTATTTCCAAGTCTCTAACACCCAAGCAGAAACCGTCTACAGATTCACCATTGTCAACTTCACCAAGCCCGCTAGCCTTTACAATCGGGGTATGCGCCCACTCTTCTATTCTGAAAAGGAGGCCAAGGCTCACAACGTTGGCTGGCAGAGAATCGGAGACCAGATCAGGTACTACAAGAACAACCTGGGCCAGGAAGGCCGCCACTTCTTCTCCCTCACGTGGACATTCCAGTTTCCACACAACAAGGACACCTGCTACTTTGCGCACTGCTACCCTTACACTTACACCAACCTGCAAGAATACCTTTCTGGCATCAATAATGACCCAGTTCGGTCCAAGTTCTGCAAAATCCGCGTCCTGTGCCACACGCTCGCCAGGAACATGGTGTACGTGTTGACCATCACCACGCCCCTGAAGAACTCGGACTCCAGGAAGAGGAAGGCCGTGATTCTGACCGCAAGGGTCCATCCGGGTGAGACCAACAGCTCCTGGATCATGAAAGGCTTCCTAGATTATATTTTAGGAGACTCAAGTGATGCCCAGTTGCTTCGGGACACTTTCATCTTCAAGGTGGTACCCATGCTGAATCCAGATGGTGTCATTGTGGGAAACTACCGGTGCTCCCTAGCTGGGCGCGACCTCAACCGCAATTACACCTCCCTCCTGAAGGACTCTTTTCCTTCTGTTTGGTACACACGGAACATGATCCACAGGTAAAAGGAGCCTCAGATTATCTCTGCTTAACTTGTAAACTTGGTAGCAAGAATTTTGCTCCCACAATCCCATTAATTTTACTTTAATTTTCTTAAGAGACTTTGAAACTATTTTATTTTATCCCCATTCTTCCCAACTGATTTTATAATTTTCTGGCATTATGCCACTGGATTGAAAATCTTTCCCTCAAATTAATGAAATAGAGCCCAGAATGTTTTGATGACTCTGTGAAAATAATAGCTACATTTGCATATCCCAAATAGGGTTGCTTGCTAAAGCTAACAGTAGTGGTGATGTTTACAGTGGGATCCTTGCATCCCTTAAAAGTGAATAGTAACTACATTTCACAGAGCTGATACTGTGTTGATCATACATTGCTGAATGAGTCTAACTATGAGATTCATAGTTATTTAAACTTGCATGAAGGTCATCTTAATTGCCCCTAGGAAAATTGATCAGCTTTAAATTTTCCAAAGAGTCTAGAAGAGTAAAATGTACACAACATTTAATTATTTATTATTTGGGTGAATTCTTTGATGGATTATGGTAACAACAATGAGGAAGAGACATGGGCTACAGTAGAGAGATTTATTGGAGTAAGAGAACACCCATTCCTAGTTCAAAGTCTCTTAACTTTTTTGTTTAAGAGCAGGGATTTCAGAATAAGCATATCACATTGAAATCTCTATTTATATCATTTACTAACTATGCAATTTAAAAAAACCAAGTCTCAGTTTTGTCATCTATGAAACAAGAGTAACTACCTCAAAGTTGAGAGAACTAAATGAGAAGATTCTTACTAATATGCTCAGAATAGGGACTGGAACATTGAGAGCTCTAATTGCATTCAATGTGATTTGTCAAGTGCAAAAAGAAAAAAAGTTAATTGAATTTCCTGGCCTGACACATGATGGATTACATACCATAACCTCTTGGCTTGTCTTTATGGACAAATGTGTCAGTTGTTAGATTGCCTTTGAGGAAGGTTAACAGGCAGAAATCTATTCAGTGAGTTTCAGACAGACTTCTAAGGAAGAGAAATACCTCAGTGCAATTAATCAAAGGCAGGTAAATAAAATAAGAAATTGGTCCTATATGTGTGCAAAGGTGAACCAGCTGTAAGTAGATCTAAGAGTAAGTATATTTAAAGCATATTAGAATAAGAGAGAGTAGATCTGAGTAAAATATAAAATACAGAATCTTAGTTACCTGTGGATAAGAAAAAAATCTAAATTATTCTCTAAAATTATTTTAATTAATATAAGTTAAGATACCTTAATATCCTGTTTTACTTTTGAAGTAATAATATTTCTTTAGGAATAGATTATTTAAAGTAGAGGGGTTTTTTGACTCATGTATAAAAAGCTAAAGAGTCATTAAAATGAGGAATTTGGGGTTTAAAATTGCACAGCATACTTCATATCATGCTTATCTAGTTAGTATTCATGCTTATCTAGTTAGTATTCTAAAAACTTATAATGATCTTTCAGTGGCTTTTTGTCAAAGGTATGTTATCGATTAGAATTTATTTGGCAACAAATGAGATAAAGGGTAGTTAATAAATATATATAACAGATTTCAGTTTAAAATTTTATTATAGTTTAAAGGAGAATTGTTTTTATTAAAAGTAATGCTTTAAATAATTTATTTTAGATATTAATAGTTTTGTTATAAATATATAATTATAATACTACTGCTAATATTTTAGTATTTATCCTTCCATATATAACAACAAATGGTTTAATTTTTATTAATTTTATTAATATAATAATGCTATATAAGATCTGAAAATATGAAAAAGAGAAAAGTGCTCATGACACCACTTTTTTTATTTTTCAAAAGCTTTCTCTGTTAGTCATTTTCATTAGTCAGTTTGAGAGTCTTATTTTTTTAAATATTTATTTTGTAGTTGTAGTTGGACATAATACCTTTATTTTATTTATTTTTATGTGGTGATGAGGATCAAACCCAGGGCCTCAAACTTGCTAGGCAAGTGCTCTACCACTCAGTCACAATCCCCGCCCAAAAGTTTTATTTTTTATTGTTTTAAAATCATTGAGTGCTAAGTTATGATTGTGCCCTTACAGAATGTATAATAATTTCTTTAAAATATTTGTTAGAAATTTATTACCGAATTTTTCAATTCAAAGTTTGGTACCATTTTTCTCAGAATGATATTTAGCCACCACATTAATTAAGAATTAACTATTATTTTGCTTCAACACCAGGTTCTCAGGCATTCAATTTTTTTCTTTTTTTTCTTTTTTTTTTTTATTGTTGGTTGTTCAAAACATTACATAGTTCTTGATATATCATATTTCACATTTTGATTCAAGCGGGTTATGAACTCCCATTTTACCCCGTATACAGTTTGCAGAATCACATCAGTTACACTTCATTGCTTTACAT